AAGTTAAGTAAGTTAAGTTAAGTTAAATTAGGTTAGGTTAAGTTAAGTAAGTTGAGTTAAGTTAAGTTAAGCTAAGCTAAGTTAAGTTAAGTTAAGTTAAGTTAAGTTAAGTTAAGTTAAGTTAAGTTCAGTAAGTTAATAACTTAACTTAACTTTACTTACTTAACTTAACTTAACGTAAGTTAACTTATTAACTTAACTTAACTTACTTAACTTAACTTAATTCAACGTAAGCTAAGTTAAGTTAAGTTAAGAAAGTCTCGATGTATAAGTCTCGATGTATAAGTCTCGATGTATAACTGATCTATGTAAGTTATCCCATGTATTTCTCGAGGGCTCCGCACGGAAAAACCCTCCGCAAAGCTTTCGGGAAAATCGAGTGTGGACCTGGTCCAGGTAGCTGAGAACCAAACTTCAATAATTGAGCAGATTGGAGTCCACCTGTCCATCATCATCTGCCACAGTACCTTTGTCTTCGCAACGAAATAGGGTCTGCTGCCCATGCCGATGAATTTCAAAGCTTTGTTCGAAGAGCCTTGAGGAGCACGATCAGGTCGTTGAACCCAACTGCGACACACGACATGCGTCGTGCCCCAGGTCAGCACATCTTCCTGCCGGGGAAGTGCTGAAGTTCGACATCTGCTTCGTCCCATATCCCATGGACTTCTTGAATTGATCTTCGTCGCATTGCATTGCTCACGCCAGTCTATCACGGCTCCCTTGCCATCTGGCGCCAGGTGCTAGGGATACCCATGCGAGCGACGGAGGAGCTCCTTCATGTGCTCTTGGCTTCCCTGGTTGCCATAATACTTCATCCTGGCCATTGGAATCTAGTCCCTCATCCACTTCGCCTTCAACCATGCCTGGGTGCGCACGATGATGTAGCCAGCCTTGAAGGCCTCTAGGTACACTTTCTTCAAGTCATCGGGCATACTAGCGGGGAACTCGTCAAACTCCAAATGAAACTTGGCGGTTTGAATAGATGCACTTGGACCATACTCCTTGTCAAGCTGCTGTTTGCGACTGCCACTCGAGGCTTCGTACTCTGCAAGGCATGTCAAGTGGGGAAGATAGTCTGACTGGATCTTCGCAACGTCTGTATCATAGGATGGCTGTCTGGCGTCGTTTGGAGCCATGCTTTGCACGCCGCAAGACAGAAGCCCTCTGCATTGCCAGCTGGCTGTGAAGGGAACAGGAGTTGTTCATCAACTTCGGAATCATATGTCCCTATGTACTGACTATGGTGTAGTAGGACCAGCTATGAAACAGTGTTAAGCAAGCGGCACAATCGATTCGAAGATTACCGCACACGGAGAAACTTGCGGGGCTTGGATGGTGCTCCGTCAACTGCAGAGGGGGGGGGTCGAATGGCAGAGCCGAGATCCCTGCCCACCCGGCTAAACCAAGCGCAACCCGAAAACTCAGGGTTTAGGAGGTAATCACTTCCTGATCGCCAGCCCTGCATCCTAACCTTCATTCCGAAAGGGATCCCTAAACCTAAGCCCTGAAATCCCTGGCAGAATTCATCCCCAGCCTTGCTCAAGATGGGAGACCAGAGGGGAAGCACTCGCAAGCAGCGGCCACAGCGGGATGCTGAGCCTTCCAGCGTAGCTACCACACCTGGGTTTAGGGTTTATGGACTTGTGAGCTTTGATGAGGGTCGTTGAGAGCAACGGGAAGGAACATTCATGTCTGCATTGCCTTTAAGGGTGCTGTTAGTGGCTCGAGTTGTCCGATTTGTAGATTTACCACGCGAGGATTATAGTCTAGGATGTTCGGGCGGAGCGGCTGCATGGTTCAGGGTAAGGCTGTTAATTTGGACCGTGAGTGATATCCTTAACCCTAAACCCTGAACCCCAAACCCCTGAGCCTAAGCCCCATTTTCTAAACGGCACTTGACGGTTCAATGCGACCAAGCATCGGATCAGCTGTGCCATTTCTTGAGGGATGTGCTTCGGTGGGTCCTGCTTTCGCAAGACGGAGCAGCACACGAGGTATAGGGTTTAGGGGTCAAGGACTAGTGAGGATCCTTACTTTTCCCGTCGTACCCAAAAATCTGCTTGATCTGCCAGCAGGTTCCTCCTCCTCTCCCAAAGCTTCCTGTACGTCTGGGAACACGAGGATGTCCATAGCCAAGGTGGAGACGGCGACCCCAAATAAGCCGGCATCTGTGTCCTGTAGATGGTCATGGTATCTCTAGGGGCTCGGTGCATAAGTAGTCCCATCGAAAATCGCAATGGCATGACAGCGTGCCTTTTTCGTGCGCAGCTGCAAACGGCGCATGGACGAAGTCACAGAAGCCGCCTCTGTCAAGATGGCAGGAAAAGGTCACCGAAGTAGAACTTGACATCTTCAGTTGAGGGTTTAGGATTTCAGTTTTAGGGTCGCTAAACCCTAAACGCCTAAATCCACCGTACGGATCAGATACGCAATCCGAGGGACCCCTGACCCCTTCAGGAGCACGAACACGGAACACAGCTTAGGGTTCAGAGGTTTTGGGGTTTAGGGTTGAAGAATTAGGGCTCAGGGCTTTTCGGGATTATGGGTTTAGGGTATGTTGGGGTATAAGTCAGGGCGGCCCTTTTGCAGGTTGTTTGCCGGCACCAGCTGCGCCCCGTCATTTAAAGACTTAGTTCGACTGCGCGTGTCTTCCCATCGCTACAGAATGCCAAAGACACAGTCTGGTCACCGTCTAGCAAGATCTGACGAATGTCAAGTCCACACTGCAATCCCCAATCCCTGTACCCGACATCCCATGCCTGGATTGGGCGCTGCGCCAGCGCATTGAAGAGTGCACGAAGCTCCTTGCAGGGGGACAGAAGCCAGACAAACTGCGGCAACCCACAGCGGCAATCATAATAGCAGCAAGAAGGCGAAGGACCCGTCTTTAAACACAGACCCACTCTTCAGGATTCGGATTTGGCTTGCTACTGGACTTAGTAAGACACCGAACGAGGGTTTAGAGTTTTGAGTTTAGGGATTAGGGTTATCCCGGACAGCTGACACAAAGGCACTGCACCTCCAACTGGTCTTGGCGAAGCACTGTGACAGACCCCCAATCAAGCAGCACCAGCGAGTCGTCCTCCTGCGAGGCAAATTGGAAAATCGATCGATCCTCCTCTGAAACCGGAGAAGCCCAAGCTTGCAACCAGAGCTTTCATCGCAAAACTGGGCTCCTCAGAGATCAATAGGTTGCCCGGATGTGGATCCTCCGATAGCAACAAAAGGAAAAACGCTCATCGGGGCAATCATCCAGACTGGATGATGTTCTTCAGACTCGCCCGCCACCCAAGCAGTACACCTAACCACCTAAGCAGGCCCCGGGCACAGGTCTGTTGTCGTGGTTCATTGGAGGTCGTATCAAATCACAACTACATGCCCAACAACCATCTTAAGGAAACTTTGAACCCGAACCCTTGAAGCCCCACCACAACTCGAAACCAGGTACCCCTTCAACCCTAATCACAAACCCTCACAAACCCTTCTGGTGCCTTTGTTGCACCCTCACAACAAACCAGTACCCCCTAAGTCCTGGTTTTGTAAACACTCACAAAAACCTCGTGGAGACCCCAGTCGAAGAAGCCTGAAGCTAAGCCGTAAACCTTAGACCCTGACCTTTTGGCACCGATGTCAGTATCTCCTTAAACCCTTGCAACCCTAAACCTTCAAACTTTGACGCCAAGGGTCTGAGTGGAACCAGCCGAGGCCCAGTGTAAAAGCACCCCAGAGACGCCTGAGAATCAGGGTCTGCAAGGACTTAAGGGCGCCGGGCTCAAGATTGAGTGTTGAGGGTTCAGGATTTAGGGCTTCAGGGTTCAGAGTTTAGAGTGTAGGGCTTAGGGTTCATGATTGAGGGTTGAGGGTTGGGGGTTTGGGGTTCAGAGGTTTTGGTTTGGGGCCTGAGGTTTAGGGCTTCGGGTTCAGATTGTAAGACTAAGGCTTCAGGATTGAAGGCTTGGGATTTGGGGTCTACAGACGTTAGGTTTTCGAGTCCTCTGGGAGGGTGGGGTTTACTAGAGACGAAGCGCTTGAGGCTGAAGGATTGTACAAACGGTTAAGACTTTTGGATGGGGCTGTAGGGTTTTCAGCATCCCGTTTACCGAGCCACAGCACTCTCCGCATCCATGTCAACTTGATCGTCCGGGCCATCTGAGAATCCTCCAAGCTGGGTCACGTGTCACAAACCTGTCTACATCGAAGCTTATGACTTGTAGTCGGGGCCCTACCACCCTACACCGTCATCGCCGTAAGCCCTAAACCTTTAAACCCCAAACCCGAAATTCCAAAACATCCCCCAAAAGCCAAACCCCAAACCAGCATCATAAAGGAAGCCTGCGGTCCTGGTCGAGCAGATCTTTCAGCAGGATGCCGCGCTGTCGCGTCATGATGAGGACCTTCGCCATGAGACACATCAAAGCCTTACGGAATTTAGGGTTTAGAGGGGTTTGGGGTCTTTGGGTTCTTGGGTTGAGGATTTTGCAACATCTGATTGGGGCTCAGCGTTTGCAGGACCCCAGTCCCTTTTCAGAGCGTCCCACATGCTGGGTACTTGTGCTCGAGACTTCGGGGACGCGAAGCTCGAAATCGCCAAACTCCTGGCAGGCATTGGCGCGAGGAATGCGAGCAGTGTTTGGGGTTTCGGGCTTAGGGCCTCTATAGCCTTTAGGGACTTCACTAACCCTCCCTAAACCCTAAACCCTAAACTTCACTGGCTTTTCAGAAGCCCTGCCTCCCCGAGCAGTTTCCGGGCGCGGGGCAGAGCAGCTGCAGCCAAGCGGAGGCGCTGCCGCTCACCGCGAAGGTCAAACTCAGAGAGGATTTGATCCTGGCAAAGGGGTTTTAGGGGTTTTAGGGTTTAGGGTTTAGGGTTTAGGGTTCAGGAATAAGTACTTGTGGATTCCTGGAGTCCAGGGGGGTGTCCCCGTAAGACTTGGTTGATAGCAAAAGAACAGATCTTTCGCTTGCTCTAAACCCTGAACCCTAAACCCTAAACCCGGCTTCACAATCGAAGAGCAACGGCTGCGCGGTCCTTGATGGGCCCTACCACATACTGAATATCCATGAGAATGGACTTCTGAAGCCCTGGCAGCTTCACTAGTGCCTGCCATGGCACCACGTCTTCTTCAGAATACTCCACAGTGTCTCTATCAGTGCCTTCAACCACGAGAACTGCCGCTTCATCTCCCGCTTCTTCTTCACCAGAGAAACCTTCTGGGTTTAGGGTTTAGGGTTTAGGGTTTAGGGTGGGTTTTGGGTGGGCTTTGGGGCGGGTTAGGGAGTGGGGGGTTTGGGGAGCGAGATCCGATGGCAGCGCCTTGACGACATGGCCATCGCCGCAGAAATGCACCTTGCCACACAAGCGACCATGGCGGTCTAGGGTTACAAATTCAAAGAAAAGGGTGGGAGGCAAGCACAACAACAGAATAATGTCTTCTACTCTGCAACAACCATTCCCGAAGAAAGTGGCTTGAATATCGACGCATGTGGATAGTATGCACACCTGCGAGTCACATTCTCAACCGGCCTGGCCGATACTGCCCGTCGACAGGGGCTCCTCCTGTTCGGTGGGTCTGAAAGCTGACTGGAAACTCAAAACAGAACAAGCACGGCATGACAGTGTGGACGATGCTCAAAGCTCTGCCATGACAGAAACCCTAAACCCGAAAGCCTAAAACCTAAAATCGAAACTGTAGCGAAGCAAAGCACGGACAATGCCCTTTGGCCAATGCCCTCTTGAAGAGGAGAAGGTCCAGAGCCCAGAGGCCAACCTTGAAGAACCCGCCCTCTATATACTCATGATGATGCTGCAAGGATAAGGATAACAACAATAATAACAACCATTCTTCTCATTTTTGTATTGGTGACGGCAGGTATTAGTAGTGTTATCATAATAAAAACAATGATGGCAACAATGATGATGATAGCAATAAGAAGAAGAAGACGACTAAGTCTAAGCCTAAGAAAAAGAACAATAATTAGTAGTACAATAACAATATTTGTAACGACCATAATAATAGTAGTCATATGCTCATGACAATGATAATAATAATGATAATAATAGTAATAATAATGATAAAACTACTTGAATACTGATAAAAAATACTTACTTGCACCCCAAGGGGGTGGGGCAAAAGCTCACAAAGCGAGGGCAAGCCAACGACTGGTTACCTGGTTTGTTTGATTTTCGGAAGACCAGCCCCTCCCGGATGAAAATTACTATGCACGGGGGCGGAAGACGACTGAGATGGACGATATCCTTTTTCACTTGCCGCTGCACGTCACCCACCCGCCTCCCCCCGCCCCGGCACCAGGCATCATGAGCATCATCGGGGTCCCGTTTCTCCAAAACGACGTCTCTCCTGGAGTCCCGCGTGCAGCCCCGAAAACGAGCCCGTGCGTCCCACAGCTGGCTCTTCCCTCCATGGAGGAGGGAGCTTTCGCATAATTTATTTATTGGACTATCGGAATATTATATCATAATAATTCCACTCATAAGAGTAGTAATAAGAATGATAACAGGAAGAATAGTAATAAGAGCAAGATGAACAAGCTATGACAAAAATACGAAGAACCGGAAGAAAAGGAAAAAATGGTAGTAATAGCATTGAAGAGATGCGGGGTCCCAGTGCCCCGAACCCTGCGGCTACGGTGCTCGGTTGCAAGAGCTCTCCTGCAGCCCACCCAAAGATTCGATATGAGACCAAAGTCCATCCTCACCTGACAGACTGCAACGAGTTTTGGTTAGTGTTTCGGGTTTAGGGTTCAGGCTTCGGGATGTCGTTTACACGCCCAATCTTGCGCGCCGTCGGACCACCAAAACTTGGTGACGCCCAGTGGCTGATGATGCTTCGGATCCTTGCAGGTTCAGGTGACACAGATCAAAGCAGAAGACACGGAGCCCACAATCCATATGGGTCGTGAGCACAAGCAAGACACACGATGTGATGCAATCTAAAACATTCGCCCAGGAACTCATCGTAGGATACTGGCTCACAGCTAACTTGGCACCGAGACAGGGCTTGGCGATAAACCTTCTCCTTGCAGGGTCGGGCTCCAAGACCCGTGTGTCTGTCTGAAGGATGCCAGGCAACCCGGCTTAATGCAGCTCTTCCTGAACCATATCGGGACGCTCGGCCAGAACTTGGCAAGCTTTGGGAAGGATACCACCTGACAGCGGGAGGGGAAGATGCTGCAGTGGTTGCTGGCATCAAGAGAAACAGCCACCGAACTTGCCCTTGTCTACAGATGTAAGACCTGTGGTTCACGTAATGAGTGGCATTTGACTCGAAAGCATAGCTGCCCCGCAGAGAGGCTGTGCTCGCTGCAGCGTGTTGGGTTGCCACGAAATCTATTTGCCAGCAGCAATAAATGGACGAAGCCCTGAAAAATTGCCCAGCGAAGGCAAACTAGCAGTCTGCCTTCGACAATCACCCAGTCCACAAACGCTTGTGCTTCCTGCTCCAGGGACCATGATGGCGTCGTTGCACCATCCTCATCCCTGCAGGGCTTGACAACGGCAAATCAACAGCTGGGGCACGACTTGACACGGAACAAGTAGTCAACAAGGCGCTTTCGAACAGCGGCTGCCTTCTGCTACATTCAACTACGTGCGTACGTCTATGGCTTTTAGCATGCAGCACGACTCAGAGTTGCCGGCAATTTCAAGAAACTCGAACTGAAGCTTTGCTGCCTCGTGCATGGTTTGGGGTTCAGGACACCGTTCCTTCAAGGGTTCTGCTCCCTCAAGACTCAAGGCCTCCTTCAAGCCCCCCATGTTCCAGCCTGGCCCGGAAAAGCTTCACGAAAGCGCAAAGTTGTGCTGTACCTGTCCACAGGAAGCGCCTCCCGCACACCGGAAAGCAAGTCTGCAGCCACCCCGACATGAGCCTAAACCCTCGACCCTAAGCCCTAAGCTTAAAGCTTAAAACTAAACTCCGGAAGCATAGGCGAGCCTTTCAATCCCCAGGTCTTGCCAAGCCCCCGGACTGCCCAGTCCATGGTGAAATGCCGAGATCGGACTGCCGCATCGCTGCAACAGATGATGCCCGGCGTATGGGATTTAGGTCTTAGGGCTTAAGGTTTCGGGTTTAGGGCTCGGGGTTTGAGGTTTTTTCGGGCTTAGGGCTGCAGGCTGCTTAAACCACGCTGTTCTTAAATCTTCCGTCCAGAATTTGAGCCATCGCGTTCCGTTGCCGTTCTGGCAGTGTCGAAGAAATATCAATCGAAGATGCAGAATTACGTCGTCATCCACAAATAGAAGGGCCATGGTCGCACCGCCTATTGAAAATACAAATCACATCCAAGAAATGTATTTTCCGAACTGCTCCAGGAATGACAGGGTGATCATGATCGATATCAAACGGCTTCCAGCTGATCCAATCTCCAAGCTCGGATGTAACAATGCCAGACACGTAATCGAATGTAACCACACCTCACACCCTGTCGATGAAGGTGAGCAAGCACATCCTTTTGCTGGCTGCAGCCGCGGTAGGTGAGTTCAAAAATGCTTGTCGTTCATATGATGCCGATAGAAGCTGCGCTGTAGCTGCTAGCAGCTAGCAGCTGCAAGCGAAGGAAAGCACTTAAGCAGTCTTAAGTGCAAGTGTTCGCTGCATGAAAAGAAGACTTCACTCGACATACCATGCACCGTCTCTTCAAGCGAAGTTCTGGCGGAGCCACTTCGCATAGCGGCTCTGCAAAGTAAACTCCCCCACCGTCTCCACCTGCACCTCCCCGAGGGCCGGACTTCCGACCAAAACGGCCAAAGCCTTTGCTCGCGACACAGCCACATTGGTCCTGGCGCCAGCAAACAGCACGAAGCCAAAGGCCCCCAGCGTATGTCTCCGAGCGAACCGGGGAGGGCTCCACGCTTCGATTGTCAACCCCATCTGCAGACATTATCAACTAAAGAAACATCGCTAAGCACTCTACATCTGAGGATGGCCGCAAGTTGCTTCACATGGGGCTCGTGATGAACTTCGGACGCGAAAATTGCTTTGTTGCGCTTGCTGTTATGCCGAGAGTCTGCAGCGCAGTACATCCTCTATATTATCGACATCAATATCTGTATCTACCTCCTTCGGGGCGGTGAACGCGGCAACTACAGCTGAAAGCAATCACACAACCGGTTGTCTCCTTCTGCACCCTGTTCCTGCCGAAAGCCTAGAAACCCAAACACCAAACCCGAACAGTCCTATACTGCATCCGTTCCCCTTTCTTCCGCCCCTTCCACGGGTCCGGTTGGGGTCCAAAACGAACGGCAGGCGTCCGCAACTGGCACCCAGGGACACCAAAGCCACAGCGGCCTGCAAGCAGGCAGAGGGTTGGGACTTAGAGTGTGCAAGGCTGGGGGAAAGAAACGAGACATCCGGCTGCCGATGGCAGGAAGAAACCCGGATCAATCACAGCCCACAGCCCCCACTTCCCCTAGCCCCCCCCCACCCCAACCGCCAAACTGAAAAGTCGGATGCCAAGGATGATTTTTGTCGGAAAAACTCTCTCAAAACTTGCAGAAAAAATCCAAACCCTTCACAACTTCTACAGACCCTAAACCCTGAAACCCTGAAGCCCTACAAAAAAAACCTAAGAGCCCACGTCTCCGACTCGCCTCCTGGCCCTGGAAGAGATCCACCGAGCCGACCCGAATCTTCCGCATCGCGGGATTTGCAGCCAGGGTCGACCTTCAACCCTTATAGGGTTTTAGGGTTTATAGGGTTTGGGGTTTAGGGCTTTTAGGGTTTAGGGTTTATAGGGTTTAGGGTTTAGGGTGTATAGGGTTTAGGGGGTTT